ACAAAGTGTGAAAGTGAGACAATAAATTTAGCTTAGTAAGTAGAGGTTATTGATCTGGAAATGAATTCCACATGATTGAGTCACTATACCAAATATCTAGAATGAGTACAAATTACTATGCAGGTTACTATTTAACATGCTTGAGACACTTTTTAGTACTGAACAACTTAACAACTACCCAAAGCAAGGAAATCCCATCCAAAAATACTTGGAAAAGGAAAATCTTGTCCTACAAGATCAACTTCATAGTCATGGTCTGAAAGGTCATCATCTCCATATGATGTATATGGCTCATGTATGAGATAGATTTCTTTGCAGGTACTAGTGCAAACAACACGTACTTTCCCCCTAAATCTGATGTGATTCTCCATCCGGTCACGATCAACAGTAGAATAAGGGTAATGAAGCTTGTGAATTATAGGGAAAGTTTTTTGAAATCCATCACCGTTATATAGATCGCTCTGCAACCTCGAGACATCTTAGCATGGTGTATAATGCATCAACACATTCACGCATATTCCCCACAACGGTGAACTTGCGGAGGTTAAGATATTCCAGATCTGGACAAAGAATCCGACATCGCACTTTTGTGCAGAGTCTGACAAGGCAATATATGTACATGTAGACAATACAATCGAATATAAGGACCCACAATATACAAAAAATATGTCTTAGCAATATATTCCAATACATTTTCGTGTTTGTTTTTGTGATGGATTGTTTGTATCCTGAGGGCGAAAGCCTGCATTTGTAATGCTTGGTATAGAAAGGAAGACAAAAAGCTGTGCTGAAATAGTGCAACTAAACAAGCATAGCTCTCGAAGGAGAGTGATGGTGTGCATAAATCGAGCTTAGTTTGCGCAGTTACCGCCGCCATACTTACTCTTCCAGCTGCCTTTACTGTGCACCGGACCATCTCAACAATCTCCGACTCTCTTCTCACCTCTCAACAACTTGAGAGCACTTATTCTCTGTACAAACACATAGAAGGCCTGCCAGCTTGCTCGGACGATGGCTTTCGCGTAACAGTCCCGTGGAGACTAGAGACAGCAACATTCGCCTCAGGTTGCCTCTGGGGGAAACCAAACACCTTATACCCCACCCCCACCCCGGCAAAATGGAAGAGAATATTGAAGGCTCAGGCGGGCTATACAGGTGGTAGAGACTATACAGAGCATGTTCATTATGAACTGATCACACATAGTTTAGGTGATGTGAATCATTTGAACCTTGGTAATTGACTTGTAGAACTACTGGGAAAGCTTCTGATTATCTACAACAGAGATAATTAGGAATTTCAGATATTGTCTAAAAATGTTCAACCAAGGAGGAATCAAGGATGTTCTACCAGTCCTCATACATGAATTGAATATTGCCTGTTTGAGTTGTCGGGCCTGCAACGTAAAATTTCTTCCTGTCACTGATGTGGCTCCACATTCTTTTACAATCAGCTGTAGAAAAGTATTGAGGCCAAGACTCATCTATCAGATAATTCCACATCTTCAGAGCATTCCAACGTGATTTCAGCATAGTGCATAATACACTAACACATTCACGTTCTTCCCCAACAATGTAATAGTCGTCGAAGCTAAAGTAACTCAGATTGGGACACATAATCCGGTTGCTTGTAGCTAAAGCACGATGACCTTTATCCGTGCCACTTGGTACGGAAAGAAGTTGAAAGAGCCGTGCTGATACAGTGCAATGTTTCAAGAAGATCGCCTGAAGCAGAGGAAGGAGAGGAAGGATGAACGTAATCGTAGCTTCGTCCGCACAATTTCCATCTAGTTCCAGATACGTTAATGGCGGGAGGGAACGCTGGATAAAAGCCGAGAGAATTTCGCCTCCATTTCGGGAAGCGAAATCTCGATAAAGAAGCCCTGTCAAAGCAGGGAGAACCAGTTTATCGATCACTAGGTGTGACCTGGTACCCGACAATGCAAAGCGTTTGAGGTTATGCGAGATGAGAGCGTGATCCTCGTCGTTTGTCTGTTTATGAGTTCCATGGATATTAATTCGAAGTTGATTCAAATTCGGAGCCACCTCGAGAAATTTTAGACACATTGAAGGTGCGACATTCGAAGGTGATGCGGCACCCGAATCGAGATCAACTGAGCGTGCTGATAAATACATTGACCTATCTCCAATTCCGAGATGAAACTGGCCATCGAGGTGAAGATACTCGAGCTTAGAAGACTGCTCCAGATTGATATTTCCATCTCCATTTCCAACACATCCCTTCCAGAGTTGGACGTACAAGCGGAGTGAAGTTAACATTGGCATATTTGTTAGTCTTATCCCCGGAAAGCTGGGAGACATATAGAACCGCCAATAAAAATAGACATCCCCCCAATGCCATTGATGATCGATCAACATTAAGACGATGCGCTCGCCTATGAAACTCTCGGAATGATGGTACTTGAAGTCGCATGTGACCGAGTAATTCAGTGGCGCCCTGTTTGATCTGTGAAGCCATGTACTGAAGATTTCAATCCAATTATCACGACCCCAAACTGGAAGATAGCAGTCTAGGTAGGTCCAGAGAACTCCTAGCGACAGAGATACATTGCGCCATCGCCGACAGACGCTCGAAATTTTGATCGGTACAGTAACGGATTGCCACTCGCGATGAGAATCGCGCACACACTCGTGAAAAATGTCGCCAAGTGTTTCCAAAGGGAGTGTATCGACGGTCATGTTATACGAGGGCATCCACAATTAATCTCTTGTGTTGAATGTCCTTAGCAGGAGACGGCGACCCAAAGTCGGATTTTTGCTATATCTTTTTAGAAAAAGACGAGTCACTGTGTCAGACGTCTTACGGATGAAGTAACTTCAAAATGACAGGATCATTGACTGACATACCTACTAGTAGATCTGGGTCCAAGAGCACGAGTAGTATATGAGATACGAGGAGAAAGTGACTATTGTAACCTCATAGGTTACGCGCATCTCCACCCCACAAATGAATATGATCTGTCCTCTACACCTTCTCCGGCTATTCCCGAGACCATCCCCGGTTTTACCTACTCCATTTCCCATCTATATTGTCCTCCTATTTCTCTCTTGGGTGGATACCAATTAATAAATCAATTACCCATTATGCGCGACGAGAGTGAGACATTGTCTACAAATATACACCCTTTCTTTGCTTGCAGGCACAGACCCAGTTCTCCTGAGACTGGTATACTGATTCAAAATGGCTGATATAATATTAGTTGTTGTAACTGAGTGCTAGAACTAGCACAGGAATTTTTCATTAAGTAATTAAACGTGTTTTAACAAGCAAGAGTTGAACTAATTGTGGTCGTTGAAATTGGCAAGTCTTAAGTGTATTGAAAGAATCATACATATTGTACTAATGAACATCACAAAAAAGTCTTAAGTATTGTATTCATTTGTAATCCTATACATTTTGTACCTTTTATAAATTTTGTCAATGTTAATATAATCTTCATAGGGGGTTAAGCAAGGAAAGTACAATGTTAAATAAGTAAGTAAGAATACTTGTAAAACTTGGCAATTTCCATTATAATTGTATAAATTGTCAAGTTATACAAGTGATTATAACATACTTCCTAAGATTACAAGACCAAGACATACTTATTTATTTGAGAAAGTATAATATCTGCTTACAATCCCTATAAGTCACTACAAGCATTTGAACAGCTTGTTTTGGCTTTGCTTACATTTTTGTATTAAATAATTAATAAAATGCAATTATATTTAATTATAGAATACAAAAAGATAATAAATAATACATTATTTCTACAGCCCCAATCCCTACACCACCAGCAGCCTCTGCCTCGTTCTTTCGCAAGCGGGATTCGCGTCAGTAAAGGATTGATGCGTTCTTGGGCTGTTCAATGTAGTCTTCGTCACTGCGCCTTGGTCGTCACCCAGTCCCTGTAAGTTGAATTGTGTACGTGTGTGACTTGTGAGGTTGAGCAGGTTGTAGAGGTTGAGGATTCGCCTGTGAGACAGGTTTAGAGTGATTAGTGAGTGACAATAGGAAATAAAAGATGGACGCACCGCAATGGTGTGCAGCAAGTGTGAGTAGTGCATGCAGGTTGAGATCCGGAGCGTTGAATGAGTTGATTCAGATTGCGGACGAAACAGTGTCTGTGCGCGTGTATGGTTTATCTACGGCGTCCAATGGGAGGTGCAGTAAACTGAGTCGTTGATTGCAAGGTGTAACTCTAGGACGTTCCGGCTCGAAAAGTGAAGGTGAAGTGGAAGGCGGACGGACTCGGCTCAGGTGGGGAGTGGTGGGTCACTGCTTCCGTTCGAAATGGTGTCATGCACGGCACTAGGGAATGTAAATGCACACGGTATGAACCCATTGAGGATGATATCAAACATGGAATGGGTGGAGAAGGAGAGCGGGTGGGGGGTCGAAGAGAGGATTGCGCCTTGAGAGTGGTGGTACATGGACGTTGTCGCAAGTGTGCTTGCGTGTGCTCATCGATTGTTGCTTGTGTTGCTGAGCAGGAAGAAGTATGCGAATGCATGGAATTATTGAAGAAGTCGTTCGGCATTGATTAACAATGCGGATGCACGAATGCAACTGTAAAAAAGAAGGCGAGAATAATAAAAGGAGGAAAACAAAGGAGAGGCAACGCAAGAGGCAGAGCGAGGAGTGGGAGGCATGAGAGGGAGACAAGAAGTTGGGATGAGAGGGATAAGCAAGTAGTGTGCGAATTATTATGAAGTAGACTGGCTACTTACGCTTTACGCTGAAGGATGGCGTAGCCAGCTCGGCCGTGTTGTCACAGGATATAAGGCTCAGTGCGGGCATCGCAGTGGCAGATTAGAGAGACAAATGCAGCAAGGTTTATTGTCTAGGTGGTTGCAGACAGTGTGCCTACTGGAGGATGCTTGTAGGCAGAGGACTGGACTGGAGAGAACAAAAGAAACGACATAGCATTGGGGGAAGAGGATTGGGGAGATGGCGGAGGTAGGAGGAAAGGAGTGACGAGAGTAAGTGCGTCATTATATGCTCTCGATCTTCGGTACTAGATTATGTAATCACTTCGATATATTGTTTAAAGTAAAATCAAGTTATATTATAAGTTTAACATGGTGATTGTTAACAGTATTAATATATATAATTGCATATTATCTTACTAAAAGTATTGTAATTAACTTACAAGCACAATGTATTGCTTTTATAACTATTATAATCAACCAACTATTGTTACAAATAACTTATAATATAATTTTAACAAGTTATAATAAGAGCTGAGTACTTGTACCTCACATGTAATATTATAATAATACTAGTAGTAAGCTTACTTGCTTTAAAACATGCTTGTAGTTTAGTAGAAACCTTGTATATTTCTTACATTTATATATAATTATTAGTATTGTATTACAAGTAAAATATAATTATTAATTTAAATTGTTATGCTTATGAAATCATTTTATTAGATTACTTTTGCTATTATTAAATACATTTGTTACGACTTTTTCGTGATGAAAACAACCTGATGATAGAAGGTGCTGATCTCAGGCTCGAGATGACTTTCACTTGAGTTTGTATCTAGCACCCGCATTGCTTGTAACGGGAAGTAAGCAAAATGACCATGCTGATATACTGCAAAGAACCAGATCGAGTGCTTGAAGTAGAGGAAGAAGGAGAAACTGTATAATTGTTACTCTATTTGTACTTTGTATAGCATTTGTTACCAATTGGTAGACAAAATAACAATGGTGAGAAATACTTGACAAAAGCAAGGTTTCTTTCACCTCTGCCCTCAACATTCCTAGCACTGTTTATACATCGTTCCAAAGTTGGGAGCTCTGGTTTGTGGATAAAAATGTTGAAGTGGCACCCATCTGCAAGTCAAGAACATGAAGGGTATTAGACGACAGAGTGACCCTCGTCGTCGGATAAGCCATGCTTTTTGTCGATAATAGCTGGAACTTCTTCAAACTTGGAGCTGGTTTGAGAGGGCCGAGATGTTGTACAGGGAAAAATTCCTGCAGATCGAGATCCATTGAGCATGCTAAAGGTACAGGCAGGTTCCCAATTCCAAAAAGAAATGGTCTGCCAAACCGTAAGCACTCAAGTTTTGAAGTTATACGGGATTGATATACGTAGTCTTGTAACAGAAACCACGAATTTTGACACTACTATAACTCAGTATGATCGTAGTTTTTAGCATGACTTAACACGACCTGGGGTAGCGGGTGCAAAAGGTAAAAGTTGGACTGAGGTAAATCTGCATGGTTGTGTAACTACAAGAGAAATGGAAACAATGCGATAAGAATAAGTACTGATTCGAAGAGTGTGAATTCTGCATGATCGTGTTGTCATCCTGAAGAGCAAACGCAGAAGGCTTACAGGCACTTTGAAGGGCTCTAGTGAGCAAGCACAGTGGTAGTAAAAACCAGTAACTTAACTAGAAGAAGACAGGTCATACATATCCTCTAATCCTATCCAGTCTTGGGCGGGGTGCGATAAATTCCAGTCCTTTCCTATCTTCGATGCGGGCCCACAATTTTCTGCGGTCAGCCGAAGAAGGGGAAGAGGCCCCATCGAAGTCAAGATAATCGCAAACCTTCAAACCATCCCAACGTGAATCTAACATTGCGCATAAAGCATCAATGCATTCGCGAAAGTCCCCTACAACAGAGTAACTCCGGAACCCAAAGTATATCAGATCGGGGCACGTGATTCGATTACTTCTATCCTGAGCGTGGTGACCCGCTCCGCTTGGCACGGCAAGAAGCCTGAAGAGTGCCGCTGAAATGGTGCACCGCGCCATTTCGAGCACCTGGAGCAAGGGAAGGAGAGGGAGGACAGTCGTAATTGTAGCCTCCTCTGCACCGTTGCCAGTGACGTCCAGCATGGTTAACGGTGGTAAGGAACGTTGAATGAAGCTCGATAAACGGTCACCTCCATTTCGGGAAGAGAAATCTTCGTATCTGAGCTCTGTTAAGACGGGGAGGACTAGAATATCAATTATTGTATGTGATGCGCGACCCCACAAACCGAGGCACTCGAGATCATGGGAGATTACGGAACGTTCCTCGCCAGGCGGTCGAAGTATACTGGTCGCTTGAAGTTTCTTCAAATTCGGAGCCGCCTTGAGAAGCTTACAGCATTGTTGTGGATCCAAAGTGACAGCGAGTGAGTGTAGCGAAGTAAGCATTGGCCCGTCTTCGAATTCGACAGCAACCGGGTGTCCAAGGCTCAAGTCCTCGATCTTTGAAGCCCGTGTGAGATTGAAACTTCCACCAACGGATCGATTACGGACGTAGAAGCATAACCGGAATGCGGTCAGCACTGGCGTATTTGTAAGTCTGATTCTGTGGAAGCCAGGGGATGTCAAAAAAACCCAGTAAAAGTCGACTTTCTCCCAATGCCATTGGTGAGAAAGCAACATTAACACAACGCGTTCAGCTTTTTGATGATCCTCCGTAGATCGGACAGATGTGAGGTCACATACGACATTGAGGTCGAGTGGTGCGCCGTTAGACCTGCGAAGCCATGTGTCGAAAAACTCGATCAACCATCCCGGGGCCACACTAGTGATGGACGTCTCCAGGCGGGTCCAGAGATCTCTGAACGACAAAGAGAGATCGCGCCATTGTCGACAAACGCTCGAAATTGTCACCGGTACCGTAACGCTTTCCCATCTTCCACGCGCATTGCGGACACATTTGAGGAAGATGTCGCAGAGTATCTCTGACGGGAGGGAATTTATGCCAATCGCGTCGGAGTCCATTTAGAAGATATCCCCACACGAACACCAACAGCGGGAGGGTAAGCGACTTTCTGTCTCGCGAATACGATAAATGCGAAGTGATAGAAGAAACATCAGTCGACATCCCAGGTATGTAGAATATAAGTGGCGAGGCGAGAGCTGGGGAGGCGTATGAACTGGGCCATTCCGAGACAAGAGGAAGTCCATAATTTATATCTGTACCTCATTATGTAAGCGTAGACCAGGCATAAGTAGTACTAGTAGAGAACTGCGTCGATTTGTACTCGTTCAACGTTGTACCCGGCGCCAGGCCTTCTGGAGAGCATACCGGTGAATGCGCGAATAATATTATTGCATTATTGCCAAATTTAGCAAAGATGAGCACTATTGAAGTCTGGAAAACATATAGATGATCAAGATGGTGGTAAAGGTACAAGAGTGGGCGGTTTGGACTTTGGTGATAATCAGAGATGTCGCACGTGATCGGGTCGTCATTCCGAAGGCATATTGCAAAGCATGAGAGGTTAGGTTGCTGAGCAACACACAGTCTCTTGACTCTCCCATCCACCTTCACTATATGCTAAGTCGTCTCAACAATCTCCGCCTTTCTCTCCTCGCGTCTCTGCCGACCGTATCTCTCCGTTCATACTCACAAACGCCCAACCAGCTTGCACGTGCAATGGCATCTACACACGGCGGTCCCGTGGAGACGGCCACGTTCGCCTCAGGTTGTTTCTGGGGCACCGAACATATCTTTCTTAAGAAATATCCTCCGCAAGAAGGGAAGGGAATATTAAAGACTAGGGTGGGCTACACAGGTGGTAGGGACGACGCGGAGAATCCTAGTTATCAGGACGTATGCACCGGTCGGACAGGACATGCTGAGGCAGTTAGAATTGATTTTGATCCTGAGAAAGTTTCATATGGAGAGCTCGTCGGTATGCGACTTGATTGTGTTACGATTAGTTAATGATGGAGAGGCATTGTTGCTGATGATGAACTGTTTTAAAGAATATTTCTATTGTACACACGATCCGACCACTGTAAACAGACAAGGAGCTGATACCGGCACACGTACGTCTCATAACCCCTTGTTTACACAGCTCCCCTGAAGTTTCCTTAACTTGCCTCCCTCCTAGAGTATCGTTCGGCCATCTTCTACCATTCACCTGAGCAGAAGAGGATTGCAGAACAAGTGACACAGGATGTCCAGAAAGCGCACTTTGACAGGCGTAATGCGAAGATCGTTACTTCCATCGAACCAGCGGGAATGTGGTACGACGCAGAGGAGTATCACCAGGAGTACTTGTTTAAGAATCCGAGTGGTTACCAGTGTCCGACCCATAGAGAGCATTGGTGAAGCACTGGATTAACTCGAATCTGTTGCTGTCGCACTTGTGAGGACCAGTAGACATGCAAATTTATGGGTTTATTTTTGGAATTGTTGTAAAATGAGAAAAACATTTTATTGAGAAGTCGTGGTCAAGCCTTGAACAGTACGTTTGGTTGCTGGTATTATTTAGGGGTCTATCTAAAGCACTATAATGATATCAATACCATTTTTTTAAAACCTTGAGCAAACTTACTCCATAATATTAAAGCCTACCACCACGTTTTCAGACCAGTTTAGCAAATAGCTTCGGTGCGACGCAGTTCTGTAGGATGCAAAAATAACAAATGCCAGATAAAATACTCAGTAAATGCCAACTATACATAATACGCACATCTACACAATGCATCATGCTGTCCAAAACCACAACAATGCAATCAGTTTAATGAAGACAAGATATAGGGGAAAAATAGAGACGCACTGGAACATCTCCTCGACACAATCCTCGCCCTTGAAACCCTGTCCAGCCTCTACCTTCTCTCGACAGTGCTCGAAGTGCTGCGAGAATTTTACGCATGCTCCAGACTCCTTACACTCTTCACGCAGCGTGACCATAGGCTATTTGAGTCCGAAAATCAATGCAACCGCGGCAAAGAGGAACAAGAAGTATTTATTGACAACGGTCAACAGAAAGCCCAGAAAGCCCAATCGAAAGAATCCATGAGCATGGTCATTTTTATGAAAAAGGCACATACGTCTTCAGGCTCCTCCTCTTCATCCTCCTCAGATGCCTCTTCCTTCCCACTAGTCTCCTCAGCCTCAGCGTTCTCAGCCTCAGCCTCAGGCTTCTCCGCTTCTTCCTTTTGCTCAGGCTCGTCGCACCTTGCCGTCGGGACGAGACTCGACCAGAACGTCGAAAACGTCATTGCCAATTTTTCGCTGCTTTTTCTTGAGATAAAATGATGAATAAAGAAGAGACGAGAAGCGCGTCAGCGCTGTACGAGACGAGACGATGAGGAGCGGTGAGCTGGAATTTCGCACTCAAACAAATGACCTTCGGCGTGAGCCGGAAGGTAGAAGAGCGGCACGTGATCTTAAATGATATAATTGGAAGACGCCAATTGGTGCTTTCCTTTTGGTCGAGGATTTCGATTTCCTTCTTCTGCCAGTTGGCGTCTTTGCTCCCGAAAGACAGCAACCACATCTTTGTACTCGCTCTGTTCGTCAATTAAAATTCTAACCAATCTATAGAGCTAGGCACTTCAGCAACGAGAATTAGAGACATTCAGCTGCTACATCTCTCGAGACGATTCATTAGTTGAAATCCTCCATGAAAAGGTCTTAATAACCGTGTTATACGGCGCCAACGCCTCTGGTGTCTAGAAATAGAAGGGCTTAGCATGTGCTTATATAACCAGGAAAAGGTATATATTTCGCCCTCACTCTGCGTCCCCCACGTATTCCTTGTACCAGGAGCAGTACCAGGAGCCTGCCTTCCGAGAGTCGATAGCTTGCAGTTGACAACCAGTACTGGATATCGCTAATAGGTCTGTTGTTCATGCTTACATATTTCGCATTAACTTCAATACGCAAGATGGTGCTGTTTGTCCTTCCTCTGTGGCCCATTACAAGAAGATATTCCCTAGATGACATCAATTCTCTCCTGTTGGAGCCACTCGGCAACATTTTCCTCGAATGTGTACTCAATGCGCGTCAACGACGGGAATGTGTTCGGGTCCTGGTCACAATCTCGAGCGTTTGTCGGCGATGGCGCGATGTATCTTTGTCGCATGGAGTTCTCGATGCATCGCTTCACAGATCGAACGGGGCACCACTCAAATTCTTGTTCGTATGTGACCTCGAGCGTAACCATTCTCCGGAGGTTAATCAACTCGCCGAACGCGTTTAATTGTTGCTTGATCATCAGTGGCATTGGGAAGAGGTCGAATTTTGTTGGCGATTCCAGGCATCCGCCACCTTTCCGGGTATAAGGCTTTCAAATATGCCAATGCCGATCTCACTCTGCTTATACATTGGACTCAACTATGGCACCGTTAGTGGAAGTATCGATCTCACACAGTCCATGAAGCTTGAGTTCCTGAGCTTCGAGGGCCAGTTTCCCTATTTTGAAGACTGGACAATGCCTTTGTCGACACGTTCCGTTGCTTTTGATTTCGATTTGACAGTACAACAGTGTTGTGAGCTTCTCAAAGCAAACCCAAATTTGAAGAAACTTAGAGCTGTCGATATACTTCTTAAGTACAACAACAAGGACCGTTCTATCATTTCCCATAACCTCGAGCAACTTCGTTTGTGCGGCTCTATCTCGCATCTACTGATCGATAAACTAGCCCTCCCTGTATTGACAGGGCTTGTTTATCACGATCCCTTTCGGCAACATGGAAATGGAGTTCTTACATAACAAATAGGAATATACATAACATCCTTTCTTTGCATCCTGCAATTCGGGGTGTATGAAAGTGCAAAGGTAAATTACTCATTTGTAAGTGTTTTAGAATTGTTCTAGATGAACACCTTTAGAAGGCAGACATGTATAAGACCTTTGTGCTGTGTGCCCTAGTATCATTGGAACAAAAATTTGCCCATATTTTCATCATTTATAAAATATTACACTTCTATAGCACGAATAAAACTAAAACATTGTCCCTATGTGTGTTGGAAACACTTAAAGAATTTGACACATCTCTTCCTTCCCAACAAGTCATGCAAATCACTTACAAATCAGCAACCTTTTTCAGGTAACTCAAACAACAAAGACTTTTTTTTTGCTGCCCTTGTACTTCTTGTCCCCAGAACCAGCCCTCACGCCTGACCGGACCCAACATCTTTTACTTCAGTGCTAGATATCTTTAAGAAGTCAGTCAACTATTCATCCGTTGCCTGGTGTTGGTCTCATACACAAGGCAGAGTGCTGTCTATCCTTCTACTGCAATCCCTTATGAGAAGATAAGTCCCAGATGTGCTCGTACACTATGGGCATCAACTCCATCCCGGTGGAGATACTTGGTGACATTTTTCTCGACTGTGTGCACAATGCGCATCACACGGAATGCATTAGGGCCCCGATAAGGCTTTCCAGCGTTTGTCGTCGATGGCGCGACGTATCTTTATCACTCAGAAATCTTTGGACTTACCTGTATTATCACGTTGGCGTACCGCAGGAATGTTTAATCGATGTGTTCATTACATGGCTTCACAGGTCTAATGGCGCACCGCTCGAGTTTTGGTTTATGTGTTGCCTCACGAGTAAACAGCCTCAAGAGTATCATTGAATTGCTGAACGCATCGTCTCCATGCTGTTTGCTCACCAATGGCATTGGGAAGAGGTCCACTTAATTTTGAAATTCAGAACATCTCCTAGCTTTCCGAGCATAAGGCTTACAAATATGCCAATGTTGACAACGCTTTCTTTAAGCCTCACACTCGACAATGGAGCCGTTGGTGGAATTCTTAGTCTCGCGCAGTCTCCAAAGATTGAGCATCTGAGCCTAGGAGGCATACGTCTTCTCCGATTTAAAAGGGAGCCAGCACTTTTGTCGGCACGTTCAGCTCTATTCGATATAACTTCAATTCGCACTGTACAACAGTGCCGTAAATTTCTCGAGGCCACTCCGAACTTGAAGAGCCTTCAGCATAACGAGATACGTGGACCGACTCACGATGAGGACAGCCCCGTCATCTTGCATAACCTCAATCGCCTCAGTTTGTCGGGTCCAGCTCCACATCTGTTAATTGATAAGCTGGCTCTTCCTGCTTTGACAGAGCTTGACTACCGAGATCTCGAAACCTGGAATGGCGGAGAAATTTTATCGACCTTTATCCAACGTTCTTTGCCACCGTTAACCAGTCTGGTGATTGGTGGCAACTGTGCAGATGAAGATACTATTATCTCTATCCTCCCTCTTCTTCCTCTGCTTAAAATGCTTAATTTGTTTGCTTGCACTATCTCAGCACAACTCTTCGACATTCTTTCAATACCAGGAGATCCAAACGCAGTTCTTCTCGCTCAGGATACAAGCGATCGAATTACGTGTCCTGATATGAGACACTTCAGCCTATACAACTACATTGTTGTAGGGGAAGCGCGCGAATGTGCCAATGCTTTATGCACCATGCTGGAGTCTCGCTGGAATGTTTTGAGGCTGTGGGACGATTTGGTTGATATCCAAGGGACTCGTTACCCATTTTTTGCTTCTGATCGCAGAAGATTGCGGCGTCACATCCGAGAAGGGAGACTCTTTCGCGCTAGATGCTCCAGCTATAGCATTCCAGATTAGACTATCTAGAATTTGATCTTTCTTTTCCTGAACACTTTTGGCTAATTGTATGTGGCATTTGACCAAATTGTGCTTATTCACCAGACCAGAATAGTCTCAAGTATCCCTGAAGCTGTGTTGTGTTTATGCTTTGGAGTGGTGACATGATTATATAAAACTCATTTCTGAATCAGCAGCTACTCTTATTGAATTGTTTTCATCCCTTTATACCCTTTATACAATCACACATGTATGTTTCTCCTAACCTGACCATTGCCCTTCCAATCATCACTATGGATTTTTCTGATGTGATAAGCCTTACTATATACTGTATGTTCAACTGTTGTAATCTTGATTGTTCTATTTATCCAAACTCTTGGTACAACTCTGGCACCTGGCTGTATCAGTTAGTGATTGATACTGTTGCTGGTTCTGGTGGCTCCACTTTGATGTGGCTGAGAATGCATCTGCAGAACAGAGAAAGCATATATTTCCACCATTACAATTTCTCTCCTATATAGTTTGTGCATCCTGTTCCCAATTCTGCCTTTCTCAAGCTAACAGTGTCTCTTAATCTGACCTGTATGTCCTTCATAACTCATACAAGGCATTTTTAGTGAATTAGTTGGTAGCAAATTCATATAAAATTAAAAAGGTATAGTGTTAAGACGAGACTACACAAGAGTATGTCTCAGATGATATAAACTACATTACAAGCAATGACAAACAATGATGGAATACCTTCCATCATACATTCTACATCTGAGACATTACCTACATAGTATATATAGACTAACTAATCAACAGACAATGAAGCAAGCTGTGAGAGAGTGAGCTGAGTCCACTTATCCCCCCC